GGCTGTAAAAAAATAAAAAAGCATATTAAATAAATATATGGATATGCTTCATCAAGAAGACATGCAAGCATTTTCCCTATCAACATTCTCAACTATTTACAAACATTTATCCGTAGATATCACAGTATAGCAACATCTAGAATTTCAAATTCCCATAAAATACATTCGTAACATGGCCAATCCGATACCAATTTGTAAAAACATTCAATTATTCCATATTGCTATACGGAGTGGAAATATGGACTCTCTGAATGTAGAAGCCTTTGAGATGTGTGGTTTTGAAGGATGCTGAAGATCTCTTGGACAGAGCACGTGACCAACAACAAGGTGCTGAGAAGAATTTGGACTGAGAGAGAACTCCTAAATATTGTAAAAACCAGAAAAACGAGTTATCTAGAACATATTTACAGAAGAGAAAAATACAACTTCCTATGACTGAAAATGAAGGGAAATTGGAAGAAAGAAGTGGACCAGGAAGAAGAAAATGTTCCTGGCTGAAAAATGTAAGAGACTGGATAGGCATGGATATATTCAATAATAAAAACAGCTTAAAATAAAGAGCAATTTGCTGTAGTTATAGCTAACCTTCAGAGAGGGGCACCTTAAGAGAAACAACATGCCACAACTTAGAACATCTACTTGTATGTGTTCATTTACTATTTGAATATCCTATTTACAATTCAATGAAGGCAAATAATATGGCCCCTTTTAACAATGATTGTACCGACCTTAACCATTTGCGTTTTGCAGACGACATCTGATGGAGTATATCTTAACCATTTGCGACAGATGGAGTATATCTTAACCATTTGCGTTTTGCAGACGACATAGTACTAATAAGCACAGATATCCATAAAATAAAATCAATGCTACAAGATTTAAATCACAAATCGAAACAAATAGGATTAAAAATGAATCTCGACAAAACAAAGATATTAAGCAACAGCCTAGAAAACATCACGATAGATAACATCAATATAGAAAAGGTAGAACAATATATATATCTAGGACATGCAATTAAAAACGAAAAGGAAAATCAAACCCTAGAAATTAAAAGAAGGACACAATTATCATGGGCTGCTTTTGGTAAGTTGAGCTTCATTTTAAAAGACAGAAAAATCCCAATTCACTTAAAACGAAAAACCTATGACACTTGTATACTACCAGTTGCAACTTATGGATTGGAAACTATGGCAATAACAAGAAAAATGGCAGAGCAATTAAGAGTAACTCAACGGGCCATGGAGAGGGCCATGTTAAATATAAGCCTCAGAGACAATATTCCTAACACCGAAATACGTCGAAGAACTAAAGTAACCGACATCATGGGAAAAATAGCGACATTGAGATGGCAATGGGTAGCATATGTAGCAAGACAAGACACCAACAGATGGTCTCATAAAGTGACATTCTGGAGACCTCGAGAAACAAAAAGAAGCGTGGGAAGACCTAAAAAGAGATGGATAGACGATATAACTGCTGTAGCTGGAAAGCAGTGGATGAGAATTGCAAAAGATAGGGAAGCGTGGAAGCAATTGGAGGAGGCCTATGTCCAACATTGGATAAATGAAGGCTAAAGAAGAAGAAGTACCGACCTTATTAGTTGTCATAGTTTATCTTCGAACAAGCACTGGTACAACTACAGAAAGGCGTCTTAATTAACGGAGTGCATCTAAACAAGATAATGCGAGATCACTAACACAATCAAAGAACCCAAATTAGAATATCTTGGCCATTATATGAGAAATGAACACAGATATGGCTTATTTCTACTTATTCTTTAGGGCAAGGTGTTTGGAAAAAGAGGATCAGGGAGAAGAACAATATCTTGGCTTCAAAACCTAAGGAAGTGGTTCAATACGTCTACAACCAGACTATTTCGAATAGCTGCAACTAAAGTTTGGATAGCTATGCTGATCGCCAATATCCGGAACGGACAGACACTGTAGGAAAAAGAAGATAACTAGTCTAGAAGTCGTATTAGAAGTCTATAAAAGTAATTTCAACATATTTTATATTTGGAATATCCAAAACTCAGATCTTTTATTTTAAAATAATAAGCTTCAGTTTCTCATTTATTTAGTTGATGTTTACTCAATCTGCTCTCAATTTTAGTTTGTGATAACACTTATCTTTTTGTAACATTTGATAATACTTATATACTAGACGATTTATTACAATTTGTACTTTCTAAACTCATTATTATAAAACTCTAGTTTTTAAAAACAATAAATGTCTGATGTCTAAAATATTTAATGTATAAATTAATTCAAAAGCATGCGACCATAAGACGACCGAGTATTGACGTAAATATTTTTGATTGAAAGCAAGAGGTATTAGATAATTTTAAATCTATTTTTCAATGGAATTTTCAATTTCAGCATTCAAAAAAGTTCAAATCCAAGCAAGCAACAAAATCCTAGCACAAGATTCTCGTCAAAGCAGAACAGTTTTATTACCACTTTACTATGAAATGGAACAACAATGTTTTAAGCATTAATTTTTCGAAAATGGACAGGCAATACCTTAGTAAATAAAAAAAGATTGCCTGATGTCAAAGAGCTTCTTGAATTGTATTTTATGTCTGGCAATCTAATTCATTCAGATCAATGCTGGGCCTGACCTTGAAAGATCGCGTAAGAAATGAGGAGATACGCCGACGAACTGGCGTAGACGATATTATACTGCGAATCATCAAACAAAAGTGGAGGTGGGCTGGACATGTTGCTAGAATGAACGACGGAAGATGGGCGAAGAGATTATTGGAGTGGAGACCAAGAGCCGACAAGCGAAGTCGAGGCAGACCACCTACCCGATGGACCGACGACCTAAGGAGGATAGAAACAAACTGGATTGCAGCAGCTAGAGATAGAGAGAACTGGAGACGTTTGGAGGAGGCCTATATCCAACAATGGATGTGAAAATTCGGCTGGATGATGATGAATCTAATTCATTGAAGTTGGTGCAGAAGTGGAAGAGGATTTATATGATACAACTAAAAAAGTAGAGTGGCTTAAGTCGAAGTTTGTACCATTGCCCAAAAACCAGGAGCAAAAGTTTGTGAAGATTATAGGACCATAAGCCTAATGAGCCATCTGCTAAAGTAGTTTTTAAAAGTCGTCTACACAACAATTTACCGGAAATGCGAGGAACACATTGCGCCCAATCAGTTTGGATTTGTGAACGCCGTTGGTACGAGGGAAGCTTTATTTAGCGTGCAGATATTGTTTCAGAAATTTAGAGATGTCAGCTGTAATGCTTTTGCATGCTTAATTGACTACAATAAGACTGCTTTCGATAGAGTCAGACATGAATAAATTATGGAAGATCTGAAGAAGACAGGGATTGACGGAAAAGACTTATAAATAATAGCTAATCTGTATTGGAATCAATCAGTGGTACTCCGAATAGATGGAAAATATACAGATCAGGTTAAAATCTTAAGGGAAGTAATACGGGGGTGCATAATTTCACCACTGATATTTAATCTGTACTCGAAACACATTTTTGAAGAGCTCTAAAAGATATTGATGAAGGTATCTCAATAAATGGAATCAAGCTCAATAACCTGCAGTATGCAGATGATACAATAGTGTATTTCAATACCATAGAATGGCTGCAAAACTTAATGAACAAAATAATGGAAACAAGTAGAAAATATGGACTGGATATAAACACCAGCAAAACCAAGCTAATGATCATCAGCAAGGAAAACATAACTGGAGCAAATCTGTATGTGAAGCAAATAATTGAACGTGTCTCACAATACAATTACTTGAGAACTATAATCAATGAGTCGTGGGACAATACCCAAGAGATTAAATGTCGCATCGGAAAGGCAAAGAGTGCATTCTTGACTATGACTTCTGTGTTCAAGAGCCATGATCTCACTCTAGAAACAGAAATAAGGCTCCTTAAATGTTATGTGTACTCAGTGCTTCTGTACGGAGTACGGAATAGAAACGTGGACATTAAAGGCTCTATTAAAACTTCAGGCTTTTGAGCTATGGTCATACAGAAGGATGTTGAAGATACCATGGACAGTCAAATTCTCCAATGAAGAAGTACTGCGGAGGATGAACTAACTGCGGATTTGGTCAACATCGTGAAGGGTCGTAAGCTGCAGTACTTGTTACATATAATGGGGACATATAAATCAAAGCAGATACGAGCTACTTCAATGCATTTTACAAGGTATAATTGAAGAAAAAAGAATATTCTGGCTTGCTAACCTGAGAGCATGGTGTAGAAAGACCTCAACACAGCTATTTCGTATAGCAATTAACAAAGTCATCATAGCCAGACTGACTAAGAAGAAGAACTGAAAAAGCGTCAGGAATAATCTGTCTAAAATATTTTTTATTAGATTTTAATGAAATATACTGATAATGAAATTACCATACAATATATTTTCACTAACTTTTTAACTATTTGTTATTACTTATAAATTAATGCAAAACGAACAAACTACATAAACTGAGATGCAAAATGCAAAAATTTCTGCTATTTGAAGCAAAACAGATAAAAACCATTTTCAAAATAATTATTGAGCCCCTTATAATTTTTTTTTGAAAACTTAAGAATTTTGCACAATAATTAATTCAAACATGTAAATATGTTTTACATAATTTAAAAATAAAATATCTTAAAATGAACTGACCACCGTTTTTTTCCCTTTTTCAAATGTTACATCTTTGGACCTTTGCTTTTAAGCATCTTATATTGTAGTTAAAACATAATCACACAGTACATTTAATTTGTATAAGTTGATAAAAATATTTATAAATTTGGCAAAGAATTTATACAACTGGCCTAATTAGCTTAAGTGTTGATATTATTAGAAGTTTATATGTTTACAATTATAAAAAACAACTAAAACTGCTGACTACAAATATTAGCATTATGCAAACAATGTAGAAAAACCATGTCAAAAATTTAATTAATACTATATCATATTTAATCTGTGTCAATGTCGGCAAGTGTTCTAGTTTTTTAGCACAATGATTTTTGTAGTGATAAAACTATTTTTTCTGTTTAACATATTTCAACTAACAGTGACTACTAGTGGTGAAAATGGCTTACTCAAATATAAAACCGACATAGATAAAATAGGCATGGACGTCGAGAATTTTATCTACGAAATTGCAAAAGAAGTTGCTAAAAAAGCTGATTCCTTCATAAATAACGAATACCAAGAATACGATGCACCAACAGAAGAAAATCCAATACTCGAAAATAGCATTAGAAAGGAAGAAGCTACAACATCAGCTACTGTTAATGTTATAGAAGATTATACAGAACAAGAAGAAGAGAGAAGAAAACGATCTATAGATGATATTCACCGAGAAGATAATATTATAGCTACGGCAGAAAAACCTGAAGTTCATCAAGAATCAAATGTCATAGATCATAGCGTAGATGACATAAAACAAGAAGTAAAAAAATTAACCGATCTGACAGTTATGTTAAAGGAACAGCAGAATATTTTAGCTCTGCTCGGAGAAAAAGGGAAATTTTTAAATCATAATCTACAATATGATCCACAAGATATGATTCATGTATTAGAACAATTAGAAGACCAAAGAAAAATTTTATTACCTACGAAAGGAAATAATAAGGAATTAAAACATTTGAAAATCGACATCCAAGAAGCAATAGGGGCATTAAATAAAACTAGCGAAGGAATGGATAATGAAAAAGATAAGGAATTAAAACTGGAATATGAAATTAAACAACAAAAAGAAGAAATTGAGATGCTAAAAGATTTGGTAGAACAGCTATTGGAGAAACAAGACAAGTCGCAAAACAAACATAAAAAAGATAAAAAGAAGGATAAAAAAGTGATAGCAAGTAATAATTCTACAAGCAGTGAAGAAGACAAATCTAGTGAGGAAAAAAGAGAATCTGAAGATGACATCTTAGGTGTATCTCTGTTTCTACAACCTTTAGTAAATAAACCACCCATTAGAGAAAGGGAGAGCAATATGAAAGACCTGAAAACAGAAAATGTAGAAAATAAAGACAAAGAACAATTTTCTAACCAGAAAAATCCGCCGGATGAAAAGAAAGATCAAGAGAAAACTAAGAAGGAAACAACAAATGTAGATAACAAAGCAACGAATGAGCAAAGTAACGCTAAATCTATTCGATACGATGATCCGAAAGTATCCTTAAGTAAATCAAATGAAAGATCTAGTCATTACGAAGCACCCAGCTTACCCTCAAGAAAATCAAAAGCCAGAGCTAGTACTCTTGCAAGTGATATTTCGCAGTTTTTGGACGAAATTGATGGAGATAAAAAACCAGATATGGAAGAACAGCTAAAAGAATTGGAAGAGAAATTTATAAAACAAACTAGAGAAGAAAAAATCAAAAGAGAACTAGCACGACTACGTAAACTTATAGGTAAAAATCATGAAGACGAAAAAACTGAATCAAAGTCATTGCCGCAAAATGAAGATGTTGAATTTTTAAAAAGGTTAGAGACGCTGATGAAATCACGAGGAAGAGATATGTAAGTAAATGTGGAATTTTAATAATTACTACGGGTATAGTTTTCTGTTTTTTCTTTTGTGTGTATGTGTGTGTAAGAGAGAGAGAAAGAAGGAGAGAACATATTTTTATTTGTTATTTTTTAGCATGATATATTAGTTTTTTATATCTATCACTTTCATTTAAATGGTAATATTTATTTCTTTTAAATACTTAATCAGTAATTTAATTATTCTCATTTCATCAAAACTTATAATTTCATAAAATACTTTATACTAATTGGAAAGCACTTGATCGTATTGTAAAACTGAAATATAATTGGTCTATATATCTCTCGTTAATTTTGCATTCCAGGAAAATATGATTAAAATAGGAACATAACCACAAAACAAACTGGTGAATTCACAATTCCTAATTTATGCAGATGTGCCGCATATTCTGGTAGGCTATATTTAAATATATATTCAGGTGGCGAAAAGAGTGGCTGATCCAAAGAAAAATATAATTTTTTGACATGCTTGAAATATTGTTCCACCATATTTTATATATTCTACCTTTAACGTCATTTGTTACATTACTTGATAAAATCTGATTTCTCACTCTTTGTTATTCCATCGCTAGTCAATTAGTCCACTTTCTCGTTATATATTATATTCCTATGCCCTTTAGCCCATATAAATACCACTTCCACTTTGGACAAATTATTTTTTATAATACATAAAATTACAGATTTGTATGAAGTGAAATCTCTGTTTTCAAATGCATATATTGGAAATCTGTTATCACAGGTTTTTTAATATTTTTTCTTTAATCCATTCTACAGCTTTTTCGATAGCTACAAGTTCAACTGTAAAGATGCTACTAACTCCAGATAATTATTCTATTGGTGGGTATTTTGCACATACATAACACGTCCAACTCCTGTTTGATTTTTACAACCGTCTGTGTAAATTACTGTGTATTCAAAGTCGTTTAGTATAGATTTTACTAAAGTATTTCTTAATTGATTTGATTCTGTTTATTTAGGAAATATAATTCTTGGTTTTTTTATCAAATTTTTGTACGCAAATTTATAAAGTGGTAGTAATTTATTTTTGTGTAATTCTGTATAATTCCTGGTTTCAATAAATGCATCTGTAAGTGAGGGTAAATTTTTTATTTTAAAATATTTATTAAGATTTCAATATTTAATAATGCCAGATTTGTTAAAAGGTCTGACTCATCTTTATACAGTACCTATATTTGTGCTAATACTTGTCTACGTAGTTCTAATGGGATTTTATTACACACTGCTTGCATAAAGTTTGTTGAAGTTGATACCATTGCACTTAAATATATTCTTAAGATATGTATACACGCGATTTATTATTTTTAAATTCGTATTGATTACTGATCCATTTATCCAACAACTGACGGAGTCCACGACTGACCGAATACAGGCACTGTAGAAAAATAAGCGTATTCATACGATATTCTCATACGTAATCATACCGCATTCTGATCTCCTATTTCATTAAATTTATTATTTTTACTTGCTAGTTTTACAATAAAAAGTTTAAATAAAATACTAATTAATAAACCAAGAGCCGCAGCTATGTTGGTTTTAAGAGTACTACATTAACAATGATTTTACAAAGTATTACGGTTAGTTAAAAATTTTGATTAATCTTTGTTAATATAGAAAAGTTTTTCATCATCATGGCCTTTCATTCCTGATGGAATCTCTATTACTTTTACTTTGAGCTCGCAAATTCGCTTAATGCGGTGAATCACTCCGCATTCTTCTTGTGAATTGTCAGAGTTTGTTGTATGACTTGGCTTCCGTTACAACTTTCTTTCACTCATTTCGATCTATGCGTAGTTCCTCCAGTTTCTCACTTTCGGGATTTTGATATCTCTCATGATTTGGTTCTCCCATCTCTCTCTGGGTCTTCCCCTTAGTGTTTAAGTTTCTGGCTTCGATCTGGTGACCTTCATAATTAGTAAGTCATTTTTTCTTTCTCTCTATGTGTCCCAGCCATTTCAATCATCTGCACTTTAATAAATCTGACTATTTTTATCCCTTCATTATGTCTCTTAGTTCACGGTTCATTCTTCTTCTTACTTCTCCGTTTTCCAATCTTATTGGCTTTATAGTTCTTATGAGGATTTTCTTTTCGAATATTCTCAATTTTTCTTTATCTTTATCTGTGAAGCACATTGTCTCAGCTGAGTATGTAACTGGTCTGATTGCAACTCTGTATATTTTCAGTTTTGTATTCCTGAATAAGTTCTTGTCCTTTATTGGCCTATAATATATCCAGTATGTTTTGTTGTTTGCTAGTATTCGCTCTTTTACTTCTTCACTTCTGTTATTTTTGCTATTCACAACTACTCTCAAATATTTAAATTGTTAAAATTTTTCATAATTGTAGTATTTCTTCTTGATTTCTGTCATCTTGTTATCTTCTTTTCTAAAACAGAGTGGATATTTTGTTTTTCTCTCGTTAATTTCTAGACCTCTTTTTTGTGTTGCATTGGCCAGGATTTTTCTGCTTCTTTTAATCTGTCCTCGTCTCTTCCCATAAGAACTTTGCTAGTATTTGAGTGGGCTATAGTTCCTTTAATTTCGTTGGTCTTGACTGTTCCTTCTTCCGCTATGTTAAATAGTGTGGTTAACAACGAATCACCTTGTCGGTTCTACCTTCTTCTGTTGTTATTTTAGATCCAACAATAGTCATTTTTGTTAATTTGATTAGTTTTGCTGGTATCTCTTGATTTTTCATTTCATTACGAAGTCTTGTCTGAAGTCTACGAAGAGGATGTGGAGTTCTATGTTATGTTCGTGGCATATCTCGATGGTTTGTGTAATTATGTGGATGGCGTCTGTAGTGGATCTACCTTACCTGAATACTTGCTGGTACTTCCCTTTTTTTTCTGTATCTTAAGTGAGTTTTGTATGATGAGGGTTGTTAGAATTTTGTATATTGAACTCAGTAGAAATATTCCTCTATAGTTGTTTTATAGTTTGTTACTTCTCCTTTCTTAAATATTGGTATAATTCTTTCTTCTTTCCAATCCTTGGGCATTTTTTTAACTTCCCACATTCTATAAGGTTGTAGATGCTTGTTAATAATTTTCCTATTAGGTTTTAACTAACTTGTTGAAATTTCTTCTGGAGCAGGTATTTTTTATGTTAAATTATTTTAATAATGTGTAAAGATTATCATTTGTTGATATTCCTATTTCATTATCTCTCATGTCTTCCATTACGCAATGTACCTCTTCAGTCTGTTCTTCGTATCTTTATAGTTTTGTGAAGTATGCTTCTCTTGATCTATTGTCAATTTCAACCACTGGTCTGTATTTTCTTTGTTGAGCTTGTAGGTATCCAAAGAACGCTGTCGTTACTATTCTCTGCTGGGTTATTTAACAACTCTTTCATCCATTCTTTTTTTCTTTGTATTCATTTCGATAATGGTCGCCTTTAGTTGCTATCCATTTATTATTCTTGCTCAGTTGTTCTGTTTAATTTTGATATAGCATTCTGTATCGAACCATTCTTTCTTTCTTTTTAGTTTCCTCTGTTTAGCCCCTTTTCAGGTGAATTTAAAATAGATTATTTTATATTTTTCCATATTTCCTCTATTATTTGATTCTGTTAGATTTTCCTTTAGTGCAGTCTCATAGTATTCTCTTAGTCCCTGTACTCTTAACTTCTCCAGGTTACATCTTGTTGTGTCTTGTTCTCTTTGTTTTAATTACCTTCATTTTTTTTTTTATTTACTAATAATAGTCGCTTCAACCACCTGGGTCATTAGCGACATTAGTTTACATTAGTTAGGTACATTATATTAAATTATATAAAGATGTTTCTTTCAGAAATCTAATTAAGTTTTTAGTATTTAAATGTTCACCTAATACTGTTTTTAAGTCACTGGAAATATTGTTATTTTGTCTGTTAACTGTATATTTTCCACATTCTGTTAGAAGATGTTTAACAGTAATATTGACTTGACAGTAATCACACACTGGAATGTCTTCTTTACTTATTAGGTGCTTATGAGTAATATTGGTATGACCTAATCGAAGTCGAGAAATTTTGACTTGGTCAGCTCTTTTTAAGTTCACTAGGCGCCACGGTTTCACTGTCGATTTAATTTCTTTTAATTTAGATTCCGATAAGTTCCACTTATTTTGCCACGCACTAATCACTTTTTCTTTAACGAACTGTTTTATATCACTGCAGGTAGTCTTTGACACTATTATAGCTTGATCATTTTTGGTAGCTTCTCTTGCTTGGAGGTCTGCGTTTTCATTACCTTGTATTCCCGTGTGAGATGGAACCCACATAAATTTGACTTCTGAACCAGATTCTTGTAGGGCAGCAAGTTCTTTCTTGACAAGTAAGGCTATAGGGTTCTTAGTATATAGTTGACCGATTGTTGTTAAGGAGTTTAGAGAATCTGTGATAATGACGGAAGAAGAATGGTTTGTACTTTTGATATGAATGAGGGCTTGTAATATTGCATATAATTCTGCTGTGTATATAGAAGTGGCTGGCATTAATTTAAATTGGGAAGAGGAATATGGAGTGACAAATGCTGCTCCTACGTCATTTGCAGATTTGGAGGCATCTGTATAAATGCAAAAGCTTTTCCCGTAAGTCTCGAGTTCCTTTAAACATGACTGTCGGATTACAGTGGGTGATGTATCTGATTTGTTATATTGGAGTAGCGTCGTATTGATTTCGGGAATCATGATTAACCAGGGAGGTGGAGTTTTTACATTGAAAGGAAAGAGGTCAGAAATTTAGAGTTGTAGATCTTTTAAATTTATTCGAACTCTTTCGTAGAATGGTGGATCGAAACTACTTGTGTTATAAGCTTCTAGGTAACGGTCCGTAAATGCATTTTGAAATACTGGGTGGAATTTGTTGCTAGCGACTGATGCTGCATACGAAAGGCATAAATAATTTCTTCGTAGATTAAGAGGTGGCTCTCCTGTGAGGCATTGGAGATTCTTAACTGGTGTGGTTCTAAA